GCTGTCTCCGTGTCATTCCTTCTTCGCCGACTCCGTCCACACCTTTGGGGACCCCTGGACCTGCTGGGGTTGGTCCCCGGCCCCCCTCCACAGGGCACACCTGACTTGGCCTGGGAAATGCCTCTTCCTTCTAGCTCTCCCCTTGGTATGTCGCCTATTTCTGCCACAGACAGATCTACCACACTGGAGCTTTTATGTGTTTTCCCTGTTTCTTGTATTGCATTTTTTTTCTTGCTTGTTTTTGTAGTTGTTAATCCTCACCTGAGGATACTTTTCCATTGAGTTTTAAGGAGAGTAGAAGGGAGGGGGAGAGACAGAGAGAGAAATATCAGTTGGTTGCCTCCCACACATGCCCTGACCAGGCCCAGGGATTGAGCCTGCAACCGGAGGTACGTGCCCTTGATTGGAATCAAACCCAGGACCCTTCATTCCATGGGTTGAAGCTCTATGCACTGAGCCAAACTGGCTAGAGCTGTTCCTCCTACTTTGTATCTGAAAATATCATACCTGCTATGATGACTATTGCAGATGATAGAACATAATCTATTATGTGATCATCTTACTAATTTAATAAAAGCAAGCCATTCCTTATGTGACATCTCACTATCTCCTATATGGATTGACTGCATGTGGGAGGAGGAGGACACTCATTCAAGGATTTGTTGTGATTGATGAGAATGATTCAGAACACAGATCCTGTAATCATGTGGATCTGGGTTGAAATATGGCTCTGCTCCTTCATAGCTGTGTGACTGGGCAAATTGCTTAGCTTCTTTTAGAGTCCTTATTGTAAGGTAGGACTAATGCTAGTCTTTATGTTTGTAAGGTTGTTCATTTGTGAGTTCATTCATTCACTCATTCATTCAAGTCCTAATAAGTTGCCAAGCACTGCTGTAGGTACTAGGAGTCCAGCAGTGATTGAAACAAACATCACTGCCTCAGGAAGTTCACATTCTAGTGAGAGGAACGACATGCAGTAGAGGAGATAAATATGTAAACAGTTTAGTACCAGAAAGTGATATGTACTGTAAAGGAAAATAAAGCAGAAAGGGGTTGTTCTAACACATAAATGAAAGAATTAAAAAATGTAAAGTTCTTGCCCTAACCGGTTTGGCTCAGTGGATAGAGTGTCAGCCTGCGGACTCAAGGGTCCCGGGTTCGATTCTGGTCAAGGGCATGTACCTTGGTTGTGGGCACATCCCCAGTCGGGAGTG